ATATATATATATATATATATATATATATATATATAGATATGAATGATATATATAGATAGATAGATAGATAGATAGATAGATAGATAGATAGATAGATAGATATATATATATATATATATATATATATATATATATATATATATATATATATATATATATATATATATATATATATATATATATATATAAAGTCTGATTCCTCCTGGGCAAACAGATAATACTTCTAACCATACACCCAATATAACCTACTGGTAGCCTACATAATTACACCACAATCCTGGAGGTGTGTGAAACACATGTATTAAACCTTGTACACGTAGAGCATCTCCGCAGAATTAACCAGGTGGCAACAAACCCTTCTGTTACAAGTTATCCTCAAGATTATTACAGTATGTACCCTAACTGAGAAGGTCATTCTCTACACAGAAAATGGTAATTTGTGTAAAAACTAATTTATATTTGAAATAGTGAAGCACTTGGTTATACATATACTGTACTATACTGTACTGTACTGTACGTATATAAATATACTGCACTGGTATATATCTTTAATATTCAGTAGCACAAGCCATAATTTTCCACATCTGGACACAGGAGTTATCAGAGGTACAAACTTACACCAAATTCACGGTAAAGATATACTGTACAAGATATCCATGTTAATAATAAAAACATTTGGCACACTAAATGTGAATTGATATTATGCACTGCATTCATCAAACAATATATACACAGTATATAAGTTAACTGTACATTGTGAACAATACAAGATGTCCATAAAGTCCCATTCCGGTTTCAAACATTTATTATGTGCAAATGACAAAATATTAAAGGACAGTTTTTTGCATTTGAATAGAATAACTATTCAAGTTTTGTTTTTTATGTAAGCATATGCAAAAAGCTGCATGTCAGTATCTTATGCCATTTGCACATAATACTGTATGTGTATGAAATCAGAAAGGGACTTTATGGACACCCTGTAGCTAAACTATGGTAAAAACCAATCACTCAAAAATGTATGTAATGGAATGGTGCTTATATTAAATAACTATTTTCAATAATCATAATAATTTATCAATATCACAAGAAAGGAGCTTGTACAAGGACTCACAGATCACTAGTATGTTTCTTACCCATACATTAAACTTTCAAGTATTTCTTTCTTATTTTGACTATTAATAAATATCTTCATCTATGTCAGTAGGTTTTCCCCACTCTACAAAAGGACAGAAAAGACAACAAGTCCTTCAAGACGCAGTACAGTATCACTACAATATATGGTGTACAGCATAGTTGTATAAATATGAAGTGGATTGAATGAGAGCTGCAAGCTGAGGACAAAGGCAGACCAGAGAGCAGTTTGATAAAAAATTTTTTGCTCCTTTTAGTTAAAAATCTAAAAAAATATTTAAATCAGGTACTGTACTCTGTTTTGAATTTACATACAGTCAACCCTCGCTTTACACGTTTCCACGTTTACGCGGTACCCTGCCGAACACGGAATGCTCACTTTCCGCGGTGTGTGAACCCTTTTACGCGGAGAGCGGCGCGAGCAGGGTGCGCACAAGGTCGCCCAGTCATCAAAACATTACCGAGTTCTTCACCCGCCACCCACCACAGCCGGCCCAAGTCAGTGATAATGATAGTGAGGATATGGACTTATATGGACTTTGAGGGGTTTGACAAAGAGGCCCTACAAGCCTCTGTGGTGGATAGTGATACAATTGATACAAGTGATACAGGTGAGGGCCAATAATCTGCCCTCTGCCTCGGAACCAACCCCCCATCCCCGTGTGCCCAGCCATCTTTTCTACTAATGTAAGTGTTAAAAAACCTAATATTATTGATATTTCTCTTAATTATTAATTGTGTGTGCATACCATTATAAAATTAAGAAGTTATTTTTACTACAACGTAGGTATTGTGCCTGAAAAAGTGGAGTTTGGGGGTCGGCCCGGTCTCTATTTCAATTAATCCCATATGTTATGTTGTTCACTTTACGCGGACCGCCGTGGGTTCAATTGACCGCGTAAAGTGAGGGTTCACTGTATACAGAAGAACGTCAATATAACATGAGAAACGTTCCAAGAGAAGTCGCTTTAAACCGAAATCGCACTAAATCAAAGTGTTGTTTCAATGGAATTATTTACAGTAGAAGTCCAAAAATCTGGACTGCTTGGGGATTGGGTCGGTCCGGATTTTCGGATTTTCCGGATTCTCAGGCAGTACTTTTAAAATTCAAATTTAATGAAGAATAAAGAAGAAATGAACAGGTACATTTTGATAGTTTATTCATTTGCAAATATAGCATGCTTCATTTATCAAAATGAGCAGTTTTAATGAAAAAGCTGTGAATTCTAAATTTTATTCTTTGCCTTTTATACATCATAAATTGTAGACTTTCCAATGTCGTATGTTTCCATTAGAACAGTATTGCTCACACCACGTTCTAGTTTCTTAATTATTTCAAGTTTGTCACTCAATTTCAATGTGTTCTTCTTTCTCTTCACACAACGAAGTTTATCTACTTTAGGAGCCATTATTATGGGCTTGTACAGTACTCTGTAAATGGAAAGAGTAGGACTCAAAATATTGTTATATTACAATGGTATTCTATTCATACTGTGCTTGATATAATGCATTCACGGAAATGTAATATTTTTGCTGAACGTACGTATTACAGTGGAAAGTGGGATAAAATCGTGATGAAAACGATGACTTTCGCTTTCTTTAGTTCAAAAGATGTTACCGTAATCGCTTTTCGAATGGTTTTCAGTTCAAAAACTGTTGTATTACAATAATATTCTATCCTAATTGACTTGAATAAGTACTACGATACCATATTTCTGAATATTTTCATTAAAATCCATCAAAATCATTTTCCTTGTCATCGTCTGCAGCACCAAACAGCTTCTCCCAGTCCTCTCTTTGAACAGGGCTAGAGGGTACGTGTTTTTCGAATCGTTTTCAGTTAAAAAACTATTACATCACTCGTCTATTTTACCTAAACTGCGCCTGAATGAATATATTCTCGGAGATAAATAGTAGTTTTGTGGAAACATGACGTATTTCAATGTAAAATAGGATAAAATACATGACGAAAACAAAGGACTTTACCTAAGCTTCCGATGTTCTTGAGATGTTACTCGTTTTTTTAATAGTTTTCGGTTAAAATTCTGATATATTACAATGATATTCTATTCATACTGTGCTTGATATAATACATTCACGGAAATGTAATATTTTTCCTAAAATTACATACGTATTACAGTGGAAAGTGGGATAAAATCATGACGAAAACAATGACTTCCGCTTTCTTTCGTTCAAAAGATGTTACCGTAATCGCTTTTCGAATGGTTTAGTTTAAAAACTGTTGTATTTCAATAATATTCCCTCCTAATTGACTTGAATAAATACTTGAATGGAAATATACAATATTTGTGTTGAAACTACCCGGGTTTCAGTGTAAAGTGTCGTAATAATAAATGGTAAACAATTTGCCTTCAGCACTTGTTTCATGCACGGCGAGCCTCAGTTTATAGGACGTAGAGCGTTTTTAGTGGTTTTGTTGTTCCATTACCCCCAAAAACGTGGGTGGAACTATAAACGAGGAATATCATAAATTAACGATTTCTTGGTCAAAAAATCAGGGTCGACTGATAACGAGGGGGGGTTATAGACGAGTATATACGGTATGTTGTCACAGTTTGATTGCCCATTTTAAAGTGGCGACCACGTGGTCGCTTGTTGTCGCTGTGCAGCTGTGGCGCTCACGCATGCGCACATGCACACAAATGCCCGCTAAAAAAAAAAAAAAAATTGTTTTTGAAAAGTCCGGATTCTCGGGTGGTCCGGATTTCTGGCATCCGGATTTTTGGACTTTTACTGTAGTTTGGTACTTGAGAGAAGCACAAAATACTAAAAAGACTGAGAGTCTACCCAGATGTTTTTTGTAGTATTATGTTAAAACAAACACTCATAAATCAATACAGCTAAGATTATGGGACGTGAAATGGTCTGTTTACTAGTAATCAGCTGATGGAAAGAGGAGGTGATATGTTTGACAGTTGATGCCAAGGTCTAGTGCTTATTTATTTTTCTGTCCTTAAGAGTGACTAAGTTTTTCTCTTATAAAATGTCACTGAACTGACATGCTCTAATTCATTTTATTACAAAGGGCTAAAAATTTTATCTTGTGCAAAATATATGACGTTTATATTCAAATTATTCGCTGTCTTGCAAGGATTCTAGCAATGCAAATTATATTCTCCTAACTTTAGTCTGTGATATTATACAAGATAAAAAACGGTAAGCCTATACTGTAACCACCCCAACCCTGGCTGGGAAGATTTGGGGGGTGACAGTGACATGTTTGACAGTTGGCACCGAAGGTCTGGTGAAGTATTTATTTGTTTATTTATATCCCTTTGATTGAGTTTTTATTTTTTGTTTATAAAATGTCACAGAAGTGACCGGAGAGAATATAATTTACATTGCTGGAACTCTTATAAGATAGTGATGAATTTGAATATATTAGACAAAAATTTTAGTGATCATTTAGTACATTATTTTGAGTACAGGTGCTCCTCTACTTATGAATGAGTTACGTTCCTGAGGCTTGTTTGTAAGTCCAACTTTACTCTTGTAGATACCAAACATATTGTAAAAAATTAAATGATTATTTAGTACAGCTATACCCATTAATACAGCCTAAAAACCTGGCTCACTCTTCTCCTCTTAGGTAATGTTTGTTCGATCTGGAATTTTCTTCAAAATAATCCAGTCTCATCCACATTAAACACCTGTTCTGGGAGGTAACCCCCTCAGTGATGATGTTTGTATCTCAGAAAGTTTGTAAGTTGAACGTTCTTAAGTAGAGGAGCACCTGTACATGTACACTTGTACAGTACAGCTTTGCTCTTAGGACAGTGTAGCGTGCCCAGAGAAACATTAGGCGCGAATTTTAAAATATGATGTGCCAGATTGACTCACACAAAATAGGAAAGATTCGCATTAAATTAAAACATTGTTCTTAATTGTGGGTGTCACTTTAAATCAATAATCTTAAATTGAATCGCTTTAAATCGACATTCCACTGTTATTACTGAACTGTTACTAAATTAATGTAACATATTATCAGATATATATTTCAATATCAAAGTTCTTTTTTTTATGAATGTTTACCTGCATAAATTACTTGTGGTTGTATGAACAATTTACCTCTATGTATACTAAATGTTCTAATGCCATTTAACTTTTCCATACACAGTAATATATTAACCTGTTTTCTCCTATTTCCCCCAGTTAGACACCCATTGAGTGTGGCTTGTGGCAGCCTGGGTATCTCCAAATGGAAACTGCAGTTGTATATGGGTAGGCATTGTAGGTGCTTTTACAGACATTGTAAATGGAGCTGCTTGTTGCTGTTGCTGCTGTTGCTGTTGTGGCTGTTGTGCTTGCTGCACCTGCTGCTGATGGGTGGTCACAGGAAGGGTAACAGGTGCTGCACTAGTGGCTACCATCACCTGCTGTGGAGTTTCAGGAATGGCTGGAGTCTCACAGAAGCACCATGACTGCCACTGGTTGTTACCACCAAAAGTAAGTACATGAGCTGTGTGATTCTGACAATTATTGGCAGGCCTGGCAGCTCGAGCAGGCTGCCCTGGTCCACCTGAGAGCATTAAAGTTGGAACTTGTGCCATTTGCTGGGGATTTTGCTGTGGAGCTGCTTGAGCATACTGGTTAAGGTGAGTTGTATCTTGAGTGGTAATGATAGTCCCTGCTGGTATTGTGGAAACCTGTTGTTGTTGTTGTATCTGTTGTTGTGGTTGCTGTTGTTGTTGTGGTTGCTGTTGCATGTGGGTTTGTCTGTCCTCAGGTTCTTCACCATGAACCTGCACAGAATGTCTCTTAAGGCTACGATATTCTCGGAATGTTGTATCACATCTCTTGCAAGCAAATGGCTTTACACCAACATGCTTATACATATGTCTTTTCAGAGCACTTTTATCGACAAAGGTAGCACAGCATTTTTCACAAACAAAAGGCTTCTCACCCGTATGAGTCATCATGTGACGTTTAAGACCACTAGACTGAGGAAACTGTTGGTGACATACCTCACAGATGTGTGGTTTAGCAGGGCCATGGCTTAGTTTGTGTTTCTTTAGATCGCGTGGACGTGTGTATTCTGCCACGCATTCATCACATTTGAAAGGTGTTTCGCCAGTGTGAATATATTTATGCCACTTTAAGTTATTCTTACGACTAAATGAAGCATCGCACACATCGCACTGAAATGGCTTTACTCCAGTATGTGCTATCTTGTGTCGTTTTAAATCTATAGCCTGGCCAAAAGAGGCTGGGCAAAGATCACATTTGTATGGCTGCTCACCAGTATGAGTTATCATGTGGCGAGTAAGATTGTTCTTGACACAAAATGCTGCCTGGCAAATCACACACACGTAAGGTTTCTCACCAGTATGAATTCTGCTGTGTCGATTTAAACTACTTTTTTGAATGAAGGCAGCTCCACACATTTGACAAGTATATGGTTTCATCTGTGTATGAATTCTTTCATGTGTTCTAAGATGTGATATTTGCTTGAAAGATTGTTTACAAACATCACACTGATAGGGTTTTTCACCAGTGTGTGAACGTTTATGAATATTGAGGTGGCTGCTCTGAACAAATCTTGCTCTGCACTCATTACATTCGTAAGGTTTTTCTCCGCTGTGAAGACGCATGTGTAACCTGTAGCTGTTGATGTGAGTGAACTGAGAATTACACTGATTACACGAAAGAGCTTCCTGGTGGGCACGCTGCCGGTGCTTCATGAGTTTATTCATCCGTGAGAAGACGACATGACACTGGTCACACTCAAACTTCTGTAAATTAAAAAATTAGTTAACACTAATACATATGGTATAATTCTGTGCTTATTTCAAAAAAATAATATAATTTTTTTCTTTACATGCCTACTTAGAATGTGTATTGAACTGTAGTTAAGTTTCAATATCACTTGTGATATTTTCATATTTATCTCTATGGTAAATCGTTCAGATAATTGGAGTTCCCCTTACTCACCCCTCAAGTGCGTACGGTATCCACTTCCTTAAACCCATTCACAGCACTGCTTCTCTCTCTCTCTCTCACACACAAGCACTCATGCCCACACGTACTCAGCGCTGCTCCACTAAAGCGGCCATGGAGACAGCTGCCAGCCTGGTCTGTCGGGCCTCCCCCTTCCTCATCTCCTCCTCCCCACCTGGATTTATCAATATCTTCCCACCAACAATACAGTGCAAAGATTGACGATCAACCCACAACTGATATACAAAAGTGACAATTTCAACTCGAAAGAAAGAAACAACTGTTAGAGAGTGACAATCAGTACTTAGCAGCCACTGGTGACCTGACCCGGACCTTACACAACCAGGGTCCGCTGCACACCCATCACCACCAACATTGGATGAGAAGCAAAGAAAGACTCCAAACTACATCAGGAGAGAAATGAGAACTCCCTACTCCACCCCGGTGAGGAATTATAAATTCCTAACTATAGTACATCACACGAGGAACAAGTACACCCAGTGTGAGCTGAAGGACCTGCCAGGACCACATGGTGGATGTGCTAAATAACTACAGCTGTAGGGAGTGAGCGGCCCTTAGCACCAAGGTAGAAGGAAATCCCTGTGAAGGACTTTGTTGGAACCAATATCAGGTCACAAGACTGTTTACAAGACCAGCTCCCACAGTACCAGATCTACAGTTAAATTATATATTGACTATATGTTTCTTATCTTTTTGTACTGAAAACTTTTGTCAATCAAGTGATCCACTCCCTAATTCCACCATATGTAACTTATCATCTCTGTTCATTGTATATTTTCAGCCTTCTGGCTGCTATGTTATCTCAATAAACCATTAATTATTATTATTACACACACACAAAACTCTGCTGTCACTCATAATCGAGTATGACCATCATCCAGCTATGATACATTGATATGAGCTATTAAAGATGTCACCTTCATTGGTGAGATCTGAGGTGACTCAAGGCCGATACAGGACCAACATGGCTGTCCACAGATGTTGCATGTATGGAGGGATACATCTTTCAAGCACTGGCACTTGTCTGCCTCGGTATGCAGTCGGGCTAACTCTAAAGTAATTGACACTGTCTCAGTAGTACTTCTCAAAGCGTTACGGTGTGGAGTAATCATCACCCAGATGAGGGGGTCGATTTGGCACTTTTTCAGGTGTGTCGTAAGACTATCCTTATACCTTTTCAGTTGCCCGCCAGCTTTAGGTGACTGAAAAGTAGCTGCTTTGGCAGTCTACTGTTGTCCATGCGGGTAACATGGCCAGTCCAGCGTAGTTGTTCATGGATAATGGTAGCCTCGATTCTCCCATAGTTGGTGTCAATGAGAATACTAGCATTTGTTCTCTTGTCTTCCCAGCGAACTCGGAGGATGGAACGTAGACCACGTTGTTGAAAGTTTTCAAGTGCCTTGAGGTGCCTCCTGTATGTGAACCATGTCTCGATGCTATATAGCAGGGTGGGGAGGACCACTGCTTGATACATGTGCAACTTTGTAGAAAATTTCAACTCCCTACAGCTAAAGACACGGGCATAGAGTCTGCCAAAGGCTTGAGATGCACATCTGATCCGATGTTGAATCTCTTCATCGATGTTCGTGGTGGTGGACAGGTGGGAGCCAAGATACAGTGACCCCTCGTTTAACGAACACCTCGGTTAACGTAATTTCGATTAACGAACTGCCTTCCATAAGGATCTTCAATTCGGTTAACGAAAAAAAATTCGCTTAACGAACTTCTTACGAACCGACCTCAACATGTTTTCGCTTGCACTGACCGGGCAACCAGCTTTAGTATCAGTCCGCCAATACATTAATCGGTTCTAGGGCTTAAATTCCTTACTATTTTTGTAAATATCAAGAAGTTTATACTATTCAATAATTTTAAAAGTTTAATATTCAATTTTTTAGTCATTTTAACAATTATTGAACAAAATTGAAGGTAAAGTGACTAGTTTAATGCGCGGCATCCAGCCTCTTAACACAGCAAACAGGCGTCAGTCTCTCTCTGTTTTCACTGGAGGTAACATCTTGCTTGAGACTCTCTTCAACTAAACGCTTTTTTTCTGTGTTTCCAAGCAAATTATTGGTCATTTTGAAATATATTTTATATATTGACAATATATAATGCAGTGCAGCGTTGATTTAAAGAAAATAATCTTGAATTAAACCAGAGAGCTAAAATTTTATGGGTGAAATGGCACCATGGGGTGACTTCTCTTCCACCCCAATGCCTTCTCTTCTTCCTTCTCCTCCACCCCCATTCTAAATCCCATCATCATCATCATCATCCAGGAGCCTTCTACATACACACCTCAAAGTAAGTGAACTTTTCTACCATTTTTGTTGAATTTAGGAAATTTTCGGTGAGCTGGAACCAATTACCCAAAAACCCATTGAAACAATGGTTTCGGTTAACGAACGTTTCGGTTAACGAACGACCTTCTGGAACGGATTGAGTTCGTTAACCGAGGGGCCACTGTACTGAAATTGGGTAACATTAGAGGGGGTAATACCATTAACCTGGATGGATGGTGGAGGTGTGGCGGAACCAGGGGCAGGCTGAAGAAGAGTCTGAGTCTTACATACATTCACCTCAAGGCCGAAGTGTGCATCTGCACCTGGGTAGGTGTTCAGGATCTCCTGTAGGTCACATTCAGTGTGAGCAACAAAGGTGAGGTCATTTGCATACTGACTTTCAGTGATGGAAGAAGCAGACACCTTGCTCCTACCTGGGGTCGTCTTACGTTGATAAGACCCTAATTTCCGGTACTGGATGTCAACCCCCACCGGCTAAATTGGCACTGGCACAAGAAAGGAAGAGAGCCAAGAAAATGGAAAAGAGAGTTGGTGCCAGTACACACCCTTGGTTAACCCCCATTTGGATGGGGAAGAACTCAGACTGGGTGCCATTGTGCAGGACACTGCAGTTCATGCCATCATGGATTTGCATCACAAAGGCGATGAATTTTGGCGGGCAACTAAAGTGACTGATGGTCCACAACTAGAGGGCTTCCATGTTGACCGAGTCGAAGGCCTTAGTAAAGTCGAAGACGACCATGTACAAGTCATGACGCTGTTCTCTGCACTTTTCCTGTATCTGGCATGCAGCAAAGATCATATCAATGGTGCCACATGATGGTCTAAGGCTACATTGAGATTCTGGGAAGAAGTTTTCTGCTTCAGGCTCACTGATAGAAATTCCTGTGATCTGCAATCTACTAGCAGACAAATCTGAGAGAAAATCAGACAAAATTTTCAAGACGAAATAACATAATTTTCCATTGTTTTGAGTGATTATAGGGAATTCAGAGAGATGAAATATTTCATTTGTTAGTGAGTGTTGTGCTTGAACTGTGAAATAAATATAGCTAGCCTAGATTTAAATTTAATTACAGAAAGACACAATGACCAAGGATAAAAAAAAATGTGCTAGGCAAGAGGGGGCACTGACATAGTGACATAAGCAGTGTGGATTTTTTCCAGGATTAATGTTCCTCGTCAGTGCCATCACCATCATTGTCTCCATTTATTTTTAAATTCTGCATCATTTTCATCATTGTTTACACTTTGAACATCACTCAGATACTCAAACAATACATAATAAGCATCTGGTGGTGGGCTGTTTAGGTTGCAACTTGACTTGTATTATTTACAGACCAGAAATGAAAAAAATTATGTTTAATCTAGTGCAGCGCTCAACCTGAGCCAGGCCTGAATTTTCATTTATTGTAGGTTACCTAACTAAACTCTGATTCTACACACGTTACATATGATTTTTTTTAAATAAACTTTAAAGTTAAAATTAAAATGTGTGTATATGTCAAGATAATATAATAAATAAAATTTGGTATTACTATAAACCAGTCAAAAAAATCAAGACAGATTTGACCTGAAATTTTACAAATGGCAGACAAATTAAAAATTTCTGTCAGGAAGACGTCTGTTGAGGACTCGGGCAATAATCTTGCCAGCTACAGACAGCAGTAAGATCCCGTGGCAGTTGCCAGTCTGATCGGTCTCCCTTGTTCTTATAAATATTGACAACGGAGGCATCTTTAAGAGCTTGGGGGATTTCCTCTTTCTCCCATAATTATATTCTCCAAGAGAGAGTGAAGACTGCTGGTAAGCAGAGGTCCCCGAGACTGGGATTCCATCAGGCCCTGTGGTTTTGTCATTTTTCATCTACTTGATGGCAGTAGCTGAGGTAGGTCAGCTCTGGGTATTGAGGGACCTGCTGGGTAATCAGGACATCCATATCAGCATAATTAAAATTGCCCATGGGCGAGAACTCCACACCCACCTGAAACTGTTCACAGAAACTCCATAGAAGAATAAGCAAAAGAGAAAAAACTATATAAAACACTTTGAGGTTGGCCCCTCTCACTGCCAGACAACAGGCAGAACCTATAAACCAAGCCTAAGAAGTACAAAACATTTATCCATTCATTCTTAGCTTGTGTTAATTGAAACAACGTACAGTATCAAGAACCAAACATCAAAGTGGAGAGGCAGGATATTCTAACAGCTGTTAAGTTCTGTTATTCAAGGTCCCCAAATAACTTGAACAAAACTATATGGACAAAAGGTACTACTGTGAGGTCAGCCTCCCCCAAACTTTATACTGTACTCCCAGGATATTTACCAAGGGTAGATATCCCAACCAGTCTCACCTCTGTTTGGTCATCAATATGGACCTTGGAGTGGTACTTGAGTTGAGTATCTCTGGCAAATCTGGCAGGACACTGCTCACACTGGTAAATCTTGTTCAACTTCCTGGGCGTGAAGGTGAGGCGACGCTTTCTTCTCTTTCTTCCTTTAGTCTTTCCTCTTCCCTTCTCCTGCTTTATAGGGATTTCATCTTCATCTTCATCATCATCCATGAGGACAGTGTCAGGGTCACCATCAAGACCCTCTTCCTCAACCTGAAATTAGTGACAAAACAAAAATAAAAATAAGTGAGTGGTGACTGCTACAAGAAGTGTGTGTGTTTTTCCTTACACATGTCATAACCACCCACCACCCCTAACCAAATTTCTTATGAGTCACAAATTAAAAAGAATAAAATACTGATTCTGTACAATAATAAGGTAAATTGCATGTAAAAATGTGTACTGTATGTGTGTATTTCATATTCTTTCATCACATGGATACAAAGAATATACAGTCAACCATCGCTTTACGCGGTCCAACTTTACGGGTTTCCACGTTTACACGGTATCCTGCCGAACACGGAATGCTCACTTTCCGCGGTGTGTGTACCCCTTTACGCGGAGAGCGGCTGGCGGTCCTCTCGCGCCGCGCCATTTTTGGATCCAAACCTCCCGCCATCCGCCATGTTGTGTAAGCGGTGTGAGTAGGTTGCGCAGTGTATGTCTTTGTTGCGTTATCGGTGACGTCATATGATGTAGCGGTCTGTGATTGGGCAAAGCATCCTTACCTCCCTCCCTGCTAGCTGTGATTGGTTTAATGTAGTACTATGACGTGCCCCGCCGCGGGAGCGTTCAAGCCCCTTGACCTACCGCGTCAGTTCCACCCCTCCCGGCTACACTGTGTATATCGGTATCCATTGTTCCATAAGAATGGCTTCCACCGGACCACAACCACAAAGAAACCTTGCATTACCTGGACCCAGCCGCCCTAAGCCAAAGAAGACACGACGTTCCTTAAGCTACAAAATAAAATATAAGATCATACAAGAGTTGGAGAAAGGAACAAGACAGGTTGATCTCGCGGGCCAGCATGGTGTTAACAAATCAACTATCAGGACAATTAAGAAGGATGCAGCCAAGATAAAGGAGCACATGAACATCACAAAGTCTACAGGTGCTTCTATGATCAAGTATTTCCACAACCAGGTGCTTCTCAAGACGGAAAAATTACTTGTGAGCTACTTGGTGCGTCAGGCGCGACGGAACATGGCGGTGGACACGCGCTCAGTTAAGGAGTACTCACGTGAACTGTATGCTGCAGTGTCACGAAAGATGGGAATTACAGAGCCCAAACCCTTTAATGCTTCCTCTGGGTGGTTACAGAGGTTTAAGAAGAGGAACAAGATCACCAATACCAACAATGGTGGTGAAGAAGCTAGTGCTGACCGTGTTGCGGCTAGGGAATTTCCTCCGTTTTTACGTGAGATTATGGAGGAAGGACAGTACACCGACAACCAGGTGTTTAACATGGACGAATCTGGTCTTTTTTGGAAAAAGCTACCTTCCAAGACCTTCGTTGTGAAGAATGCCAGCAAGTGTCAGGGCCGGAAGTTGCAGAAGGAGCGCATCACCGTCCTGTTTACCACCAATGCCTCCGGAACCTTTTAGCTCAAGTTATCGGTGATCCACACAGCACGCAAGCCGCACGCCTACAAGAGCATGGACATGACCAAGCTAAATGTCCACTGGCTGACCGCACGTAAGGCGTGGATGTTCTCTACACTGTCCCTCTCCTGGTTTGATGACTGTTTCGTTCCCGATGTGAAGAAATTCTGTGAGCAACAGAATGTGCCATTCAAGATTTTGTTGCTGCTTGACAACGCACCAGGACACTCGCCCCTACTGTTAGATCGTCACCCCAACGTAAAAGTGGTCTTCCTTCCTCCCAACACTACGTCTATAATACAGCCCATGGACCAAGAATTGATCTGTAATGTAAAAGCTGCATTCTCTGCTAAAAAATTCAACCTCCTGAATGACTACACCAACACCAAGGAAGAGTTGCGTAACCTGTGACAAAAACACCGATAGCAAGAGCGAAGACAACGAGGATCAACAGTTGGCAGAGCAAGAAGTACTTTTGAAACAATTCTGGAGAACATTCAACGTCAAGAAAGCTGTGGACTTCTTGGTGGAGGCATGGGATCAGCTGTCTGAAGCAACTGTTCGTCACGCATGGAGACATGCGTTGCAAGGCATTCCGGGTGTTAGGCAGAGTAAATCTGTGACTGGTGAGGTTCAGACTGTTGCAGTAGCAGTGGACCTTGCCAGAGAAGCTGCGCAGAGTGTTACAGCTGCAGGCTTCTCCGAGACCACCAACGACGACATCCTGGAGGTGATAAGGGATCCTCATGTGACTACCGACGAGACGGTAGATGATGATGACGTCAGTGAAGAGGCAGGTGGCGAGTCATTCCAAGAAGAACGACGCTTATCCCATAGTAATGTAAGGGGTGCCATCGAGTGTATTGAGAAAGTCAAGCTCCTCCTTTCCGACGACCCTGACGCAAACAGGTATGAAATCTTCACTACCCAGCTGTTGCAGACTATGGAGCCCTACATCAAGGTTTATCACGACAACATAAACACCAGCTGTCAGCAAAGCATAACAGAGTTCTTCGCCCGGAACCCACCACAGCCAGCCCAAGCTAGTGATAGTGACAGAGGCAGAGACAGTGATGATGACTTTGAAGGATTTGTCAGGGAGGCACTAGTAAGTGTGGATGACACCGATGAAGACTCACCTGAGGGCCAGTAGCCTGCCCTCTGCCTCGGAACCAGCCTCCATTCCCCTACGCCGACCCATCTCTTCTACTAACGTAAGTGTTAACCTCAACATTGTTTTTTTCTAACCTAACCTTCAGTTTATTATTCTCTTATTGATTGTTCCCTTCTATATTATGTGTGAGTGAATACCATCATAAAGTTAAGATGTTATTTTTAGTAAAACGTACGTATTGTGTCGGGAAAAAGTGGAATCTGGGGGTCGGCCCGGTCTCTATTTCAATTAATCCCATATGTTATGTTGTTCACTTTATGCGTTCCTCACTTTACGCGGGCCGCCGTGGGTTCAATTAACAGCGTAAAGTGAGGGTTCACTGTACTGCAGTATTAACTTTATTGAGACAAACACAAGCACAATACACCTAATGATATCTTTCAGAAAACTGGAGAGATAGATGGCTCAACCTGAAAACCAAATGTCAATTACCTGCCAACCATTTAAGACTGAAAAGGCTGAGGTACAGTTGGAGCCTGTTCTGGCTGATACACTCAGTGTTATCAATCCACCCTCTCCATGAGGTGTGAATCACCATAGTATCAACTCATGAATCTGAAGCCTCCGAGTTTCTTCAGTGAGACATGAGGTGCACACGGCAGCCTGGGACCAGAATATTTTAAAGCAACTTGATATAATTTTACTCATTACATGGCCTGGCAACATTGATGCTTTACTTGCTTCTTCACTTACATGATGTTCTGTAGATTAACTGATATGTTGTAGTTTGGGTACTTATCACATTATACACCCAAACAGCATGTGGGTATAGCCACATGTCTTGGCAGTCTGCTCTCCTTCTCTCCCGTCTACTCTATACATAAACACACATACACACCCTTGAAAATCACCGTTCTCTAATATTTAAGTGCAAGGGCAAAATTTAACATATGATACTACTGTACTCATTCCAATATATTATATATCATTAATGATAAACTGAAACTTTATTAGCTTATGTAAAACCTCTTGTAATTAAGCAGGAAAAACAACTGACTATTTATAAACTATTTCCACTAACGCATAGCAATTATCTAGCTCTTAATCTTCCACTATATAATGAATAAGGAATTTTTTTATCAAAGACATTATAAATTATACACTATCTCCAATTTTATGTTAAAACTAGATACATATATACTGTACTGCTGAACCACAACAGTGTGTCATGATGATATATGTACTACAACCCCAGCAACCATTGAATAACTGTACAGTATCAACAATCTATGCACTAACATACCAGGATTTGAAGTACAATACAGTCGGCCCTTAACATACGCGGGTTTAGCATACACGGATTGCCCCGCCGGAGGAATATTCTGTACATTGAAGTAATTGAAGTACATTCAAATCGCGCGCCATTCAACTCGTGCGCGGCACCGAACACGGGACACCGCCAGCTCCCGCAACCTCACACACACACACGCATAGCTCTCCCTCACTCAGTCAGTCTCGCTGTAACCACGCTTGTGTTGACATCAGCATTGTAGTTGCAAAAATATTACATTTCAGTGAATGTATTATATCAAGCACAGTATGAATAGAATATTACTAATATGTATTTTAACCGAAAACTATTAAAAAAACGATTAACATATCTTGAACATTGGAAGGTTAGGTAAAGTCTTTTGTTTTCAAGTAGTTTATCCTAATTTACATTGAAAGACATTACGTTTCAGCGAAACTACTATTTTTTCTGAGAATATGGAAATGTAATATTTTTGCTGAAATGACGTACGTATTACAATAGAAAGTGACGAAAGCAATGACTTTCGCTTTCTTTCGTTCAAAAGATGTTACCGTAATCGCTCTCAAATGGTTTTCAGTTAAAAAACTGTTGTATTACAATAATATTCTATCCTAAATCACTTGTGATGCAACAGTTTTTTAACTGAAAACCATTAGAAAAGCGATTACAGTAACATCTTTTGAATGAAAGAAAGCGAAAGTAATTGTTTTCCTCACGATTTTATCCCACTTTCCACTGTAATACGTACGTCATTTCAGCAAAAATATTACATTTCCGTGAATGTAGTATATCAAGCACAGTATGAATAGAATATCATTGTAATATAACAGTATTTTAACCGAAAACTATTAAAAAAACGAGTAACATCTCTGGAACATCGGAAGGTTAGGTAAAGTCTTTTGTTTTCGTCATGTATTTTATCCTATTTTACATTGAAATACAGTGACCCCTCGTTTAACGAACTGCCTTCCATAAGGATCTTCAATTCGGTTAATGAAAAAAAATTCGGTTAACGAAGTTCTTACGAACCAACCTCAACATGTTTTCGCTTGCACTGACCGGGCAACCAGCTTTAGTATCAGTCCGCCAATACATTAATCGGTTCTAGGGCTTAAATTCCTTACTATTTTAGTAAATATCAAGAAGTTTATACTATTCAATAATTTTAAAAGTTTAATATTC